GTTCGAACCGTCAACCTTTGGTTTAGCAGCTAATCGTAAACCTCTTGAGCTACCTGGGCTCCTTCACTTATATTTAGAAAGTGCTTTTTACATTTAGGAGTCACTAGGTGGTGCAAATGGTTAAGTGCTCAGCTACTAACCGAAAGGGGAGTGGTTCAAATCCACCCAGATGCACCTCCAAAGAAGGGCCTGGCAATCTCCTTCCCGCAAGATCACAGCCATTTAAAACCCTATGAAGCACAGTTCTGCTTTGAAATACATGGGGTTGCCATGAGTCGGAATTGACTCGATGGCAGCTGGTTTGGTTTGTGGTTTTTTACATTTAAAAACACCATCACATTTTTAGCTTTTTAATCCTCACAGGGAAGTAACACAAGGGCTATTATACTCATAAAGAAATCTAAATCCCTGGCTACTGGTAGTTAAGAGTATAATCCAGATCTCTTGCTAGTAATAATAAGTCTTCAAAGAATTCTACCTAAGAGCCACAATTTCTGATCTTATTGGATCGGTATCATGTGCAAAATATTAAAATCCTAGGGCTCCACTCAAAGGGAGAGGCTAGTTATATCTCAGCCAAGGTTTTAGTAACTCTGTGATACTTTGCTTGGAACTGCTTTAAGAAAGCAACTGAGACCATAGATGGACAGTAGAATAAGTATTGCATCTTTTTACCTAAATAAAATCTGATTGATTAATTCATCTGCAAGTATATTTGCCACTACGTACTTGTTTGCCTTTATTTCATTGCTTATTCATTATTTAATTATGCTATGGCAAACGTGAACAGAAACTTTCTGGGAACAGAAACTGGAATGGCACCATCTGTAGAGTATATTTCCAATGTTGCAGTTCAGTGGGCTGGCTCCCTGGGAAGTCACCTGAAACATAGTTAAGAATACAGATTCGGAGGTCCTAGACATACACATTTAGAATGTCTGGGGCGTGGAGCCCATAACAAGCCCTGAAGATGATTCTGATGTTCAGGTAGTTTAGAAGCCATAAGACTAAACTCTTCTCCCTAACATATGGATGTTCAAAAAAAAATCTTCCAATTGAGTGAATCCAGTCCTTCCCAGCATGGTACCTAATTTCAACTTGGATGTTGTGGTGCAGCGAATTACTTAGTATGGCCCTTCTACCCATAGTCTTTGTAACTCCCACCAAATGACTGGCTGGGACTATGCAAATGAGGTGCTTGTGGCCCACCCAAGAGGATTAGATAGCTTGCCAATAATGTAAATCAGGTGCATGGCATTCCTGTAGAGGTGGGACCATGCAAATAAAGTGTCTGGAACCCTAACGAGGGGATTGGTCAGTTTTGCCATCACACTAGGCTTAAAATGAGCCATCCCAGAGGTGGGGAGGATCTCACCACCACCAAGAAAGAAGAGCCAGGAGTGGAGCATGTCCTTTGGACCTGGCATCCCTGTGCTGGGAAGCTCCTGGAACCAGGAGACACAGAGAGAGGAGCTGTAATGGAAGACGATGAGAAGCAGCGACAGAGAGCAGTGGTGGGAGACTGGCAGGAGATGGCGCAGTGGGCTTCCCAGTCCGTGGAGCGAGAAAGCTGAGTGCCTTCGGGCCAAGGCTTAGTGGCAGAGTAGGGTGCTTCTGGGCACTTACTGGCAGAGATAAAAGCTGTGTAATACTTGCTGGAGCAGGGCAGAGGCCAAGGGGCCAGAGAGAAGCGAACCTGCAGGTACGGCTGAGATGAGGCTTTCCTGATCAAAGAACTGTATCCTGAGCGTTTCTGAACCTGAATTGTAACCTGTTACTTCCCTAATAACCCCCATAATCATGAGTATGGTCTGTGAGTTCTGTGTGGCCATTGCAATGAATTACCGAACCCAGCAGAGAAGTAGAAAGTGCTGTGGGAGGGACAGTTGGTGTCAGAATTGGTAAAAAGGTTGGAAGGTGGGGGCATGTCTGACCTCCGCCTCATAGGAATCAGCCTTGGGCTATTGATCTTGATTCTCCCTCCTCCTTGTGAAGTTAGAGGAGGTCAGACACCCCCACTACACCATTTTTACAGATTTTTTAAAAAAAATTTTT